ATAGAACCGGCAGTCCGGCACGTGAACGTGCATATGAATAACCAGAGGTTACAAATTCAGCAAGCAACACTATGACTATAGGTGGAAAGTGCAACGTAGATGAGGAAAATAGAAAGAAAAGTAGGAGTTTAGCCCACCAGTCTGAACAACAGCAACCTGCGATTTGTAGGAGCAACAAAAGTGTCTGTTGGATCTTTGAAACAAATGAGAAGCACCCTAGATGTAGGGAATATAGACCTAACAAAAAACAGACACGCATATGAGCCGACACTGCAGCGCAAAAAAAAGAAACAGAAACTGCTTAACAACAATGTATATTAGCAAAACCTTTCATAAGTAGGAATGCATCACATGAATTGGCAAATGCCTAGAACAGCCTTTCATAAGCAAAGAGGCTTTCAGCGTAATTTTAGTGATACACAGCACACCTACACCATCAGCATATAATGAGCACGTGTTTAGATTGCAAACAGCGGAATGTGTTTAGATAGCAAACAGTGGGATGTGTTTAGAGGGAAAATAAATTGATTAAAAAAACATTAGAGCATTTTAGAGGTCTCGGTAATTTGGCCAGCATCATTTGTTCATGAACTTGGAGCTTGAAGGCATGATCAGAAATGGGTTACTCTCATAAATCGCATAATCTAAGTAACAAGTCATGCCTACTACGGTAGTACCTCACAAGCGAATGAACATCTTGATACCCTCTTTGGCTGCGCCTATCGATAATGCCCTTGAAAAGCAGTAGCCTATTGGGGCTTCACCCGTATAATCTGATACTAATCTTCGTTCTGTATCTGTCTGGATAGATGAATGGACAACATTAAGATCGTTTCCCCATGATGAACTCATCAAGGTTTCGAAGATCGGTGGAAGAACACAGGCATTTCATTTACAACCATCAATTTTCTGAAGCTTTCTGATTATTTGCAGGAATCCTCATCAATGCGAGGTACAATTAAATAATCAATTATCTCGAATAAAACCTCACCAGGATGTCGAATAAGCAGGCACATGTACGCTGAACTCAAAGGGTATTGTTGAACTAACCTGCACAAACCTCAGATTTAGAAACACTATAAGCAGTACCATATATGTGCAGGTTGGTTGAAATTGGAATCATAAAAAGAGGTTAGGTTCATGTTGATCCCCACCTATTCGAGCACATCATTCAGTACCACTCCGTAGGCTCTCTGTTTCCATTAGTATGATATCCTTGTTTTTATCTTCAAAAGAGCTTTGCCTGAAACCAGGTATCCATAAAACAAATAGGTAACGATTCATATAGCGGGATACAGATGCATTTGTTGGGAAAGATTTCGTGTAATAGAATTACTAAGAACAAATCGCCTTCACACTATATATATGCGCAGCTGTTGGCATGGACTATTGCAAGGCTGTAGAAAAACTAACAACACCTGAAAGTAAGATCTTAGATGAAACTACTGTTGAGGAGAACTATGACACACTAAGTAAATAAATGGCTCACCTTCATGACCATAACCCTCTCTGTACGAAATAAGCCTAGGCAGTAGTGTGAATTGCATGTACACTTGATCCCTAGGCACCAGGACGTATAACAACTGAATTGAAACAAAGTGCGAGATTAGTAGGCACAATAGGCTGTAATTAGATCAGATCCGAATACAAACGGATTAGGCTCGGTTCTGGGTGCTCGGCTTGGCACAGCAGGAAGGGAAGCGAAAGGGTGGGCGTACCTGGTGGAGCAAACACAGGCCGACGCCAATCAGCAACACAATAGAAGAAAGAAGAGGAGGGTTCTAGGGAGGGGCTTGGGGATTGAGAATACATTTTAACAGGTGCAATAGAAGCGTGACCTTTGGAAGCAGTTGGAGCTTGGCCGATGCAGCAACCAATGAAAGGAAAACATTTTATGTTCCCTGTTTAGTTTCCAATCCTTGAATTGACATAGTGGCAACAATAGTGGTACTGTTAGGGAAATGAATTTTACATTAATTAGAATGTGTTTGGGAAAATGATAGATTAATAATTATGACCAGTTTGTAGCAGGAAGCCTTACTATGAATTATCAATGTAAGCAAACCCAAATGATTTTTCATGTATGCGCACCAATAAACTTGAGACCCGTGAAACCCACATAGAAGGAAGAGTGAACAATCATTTTGCCTACACCTGGACAGAAGGCGAAAAGGGCTACTTCAACTTAGTCAAAGATCTGCAGCAAGTTTTTTGTATGGTGACATTCATTTTGCCTGCACCTGGGTAGAAGGCAAAAAAGGGGTAGTTCCATTTAGTCAAAGATCCGCAGTAATTTTGTTGTATGGTGACGTGCAAACTTCTCTCTACGGAGGATGTTATAAGGCACTCTGGAATACCACTTTGCACGAAGGGAAGTGTGGCATCGAAGGCATGAAAGCGGATTTTTTTTAAATAATGGTTGGCTTATGTAAAATCGGAAATTGTGGATAATACCTAGATACTAATGCACCATTGAAATAGAATTCCTGGATGTGCATAGGTACTAATTATAGCACCGAAACACTAAGGGTAGCAAACTAAAATACATAGGTATACTACACTTCTGACAAATATATAACTTACTCGCTGGACCACTCAAAATTGTGCCATAATATAATTCTGAAGAAGATTTGTTGAATATATAAAATAGAGTGAAATTGGTAACACCATAAGATCATGGCACTTCAATTCAGTAGGTGTACCTTTTTTAAGTGCACATGCTATGGCGATACAATTCCATTCCCTTGAAATTTGAGATAGAAACCTGCATACCACACACTAAATTGCAGGCAATTAGGAGGACTAAACATGGATATTCAGTGAATAAATTTCGTTAGGAACTGGTAAGTAAGGATGGGAAAAGTAACTTATATAGGATCAACATAGAAACGGGAGTACCTAAGAGACGGTGCTGAGGTTGCTGAATACCAGGAGAAAGGAACTTTCCATGGTTATGTAAATCTTGGAAGGACCAAGCAAGGAAACCAATACATCAAGCACTATGAAACATTACTATGGATGGAGCTACATGCTGTAAGTCAGAAGCAAACATAATGGAGGTGGAGTAAAACAATGGGTATTGGATTAACCAACATAGGTTTCTTGGATTAAAAGAAAAGATTTACAAACCCATACATTTTTTTCCTGAACTGTAAAAACATAATATAGTACATAACTCTTGATCAGGTAAAAATCACAGCTATGAATTAGCACGCCAAAAAAAATAATTGTTGTTTAGTACTGAGGTTTCCTTTAGACAGTTAGAGCGTACAGTATAATAGAACTTATGAACATGAAATTCATCTCGTTTCAATTTAACATATAGGTGTATTTCTCAAAGGCAATTCCAAAGCATCAAATTTCACAAATTGGCTAACATGCAGTACCAATGTTTGGTAGTCTAAATAAATCATGGTCGTGCTATTGTAGAGTTAAACACCCGTGCATTTGGATTCATACTATAGATAGATATCCTGATTAAGTAACATATGAGTTGGGAACCCTTAAAATAACTGGCACTTCATGTTCCCTGCCATGGAAGGCAGTACCTGCTTCCATTTTTTACAGGAAACTGGTCTGACATTAGTAACTCTACTCAATACAGAAGTAACTTTGAAATGGTAAAACCTCAGTACCAAGCTATCAACTATCAAGCTCACTGAAAAATAGGTTTGCTTTTCGAAATTCCAACTACAGCACTAATCATCTCTTATCATCCATGTTCACATATGTTGTCGTGCTCGCCTTTCTTTGTCATTAGAGAACTGTCAAATTGAACCTAAAAGGTGTACCTTCCTAGGCAGGAGAAATTGGAAAATGGACTGAATCAAGTATCAAGCTCACTGAAAAATAGGTTTGCTTTTCGAAATCCCAACTACAACACTAAACATCTCTTATCCTTCCATAACGCACGACCAAAATTTTCTTTGGACATGAATATATACGGAAATCTTGATAAAGGGAAACAAAACAATAACAGCAGACGGCCTCCTAAAAATTAGGGTTTGGGAATCGGTGACAAGTGGAGCCCCATCAGCTATGGTTTTTATCTGCGTATTTGCTGCTGTCATTGTGGCGAAGCTTCAGTAGCCACCGGCCAAGAGGCAAGCTAGGGTTTCTTACGGTGGGAGAAGGCAGCGTTGGGGAAGTTGCCACGACCGACCACCGCGGCGTGGCTGGTCGCATGCACTCCGTGGCGACGGCCACCATCGGGGCCCATGTGTGCTGCTGAGGCCGTGGAGCTGCCGTCGTCCGGCGGCCATGCGCGCCATCCGGTCGTCGGGCTGGGGCTGGCTGGCACACCACCACGTTGGGAGAGAGGGAGAGGGCGGGGGAGAGGGAGGAGGGAAGAGGGAGGAGGGCAGCCTCCGTTGGCCCGAGGACCGGTGGCCGTCGCCGTCGCCGTCGGGGCGCCGTGGGCCTGGTCGCCGCTGCCTCGAGAGAGAACGCGAGAGAGAGGACGGGAGAGATGCCGGTTTTTTGGTTGAAAGGAGAAGCGGAAGCCGAGGTATATATTTGTTTCTCTAGATTATGAAGAGAAGCGGGAGAAGCAGAGGAGAAGCAGTAGAAGCCAACGAGAAGCATGTGAAGCTGATGCAAGAAGAATCCGTTTCAACAAATCTGGGCCACACGGTCGCGGATCGGACGGTTGGAAACATTCAGGGTGACGTGGACGGTGGTTCTGTCGGGAAACCACCGCGGGCTTGTATAGGTAAACTAGCGTCTTCCTTTTATTTTAATTCTTCTGGTATGTTTACATTGTACAAATTGAAGTCCTCGTACCTTCAGACCATTTTACGCGTAGGGATGGCACGCCTAAACTCATTTCCCAACAACCAGCATTTTTATTGATCTTTCCACTTGGTACCCCGCGCCGTCAGGTGAAGGTTGATCAATAGCATAATGACAGTTCACTTTGTTGCGCATAGGACAGCAATGTTGTGGCAACAACTATAACCCTGGTGGATTTGCTTGACCCAATCCAATGCAACCGGAACCATCTAGTAGAAATCATGACGGTACCGGCACACCCTAGCCTCCGTGTACACCCTTCCCGGCTCACAGTAGTATCCCTTGTTCGGCGCGCAGTGAGCGTCCTGTGAACACACGCCCAGCCCCTCGAGCGCGCACCCATCCTTCACCACGCTGACACCGCCTCCTCCTCCTCCGCCGCCGCCGCCGCCGACTCCCAGCACCTGGTCGCTCCACTCGCTCGAGAACAGCCCGTCCGGGTCGTAACGCCGCTTCACCTTCAAAAACTCCCCGGCGCGCGCGCCGTACCTGCCGATGGCGCCTTCGAAGGCGGCGTTCCGGTTCTTGCCCCAGTGCGGCAGGCCGCCGTACTTGCGCAGCGCCATCTGCTCGATCTCCTCCATGACGTCCTCGTGCAGCCGCGGCGCCGCGGGGTCCCGGCCCCGGTAGTAGGTCATGTCGAAGTCCACGCTGTCCTCCAGCTTCCCGAGGAGCGCCGTGGAGGACGACCTCACGTACCGCAGGAGGATGCCGCCGTACACCTCGAAGCCGCAGAGCGCGGCCGGGTTCTGGTCCCGCAGCGTCTGCACGTCGCGGATGAAGCCGGCGACCTTGGACACGGGCACGGTGATGCCCGCCTGGAAGTAGAATATGCCGTTGGCGACGCGCCGGTCCCACGGGCAGGAAGCGGCGGCGGTGAGCAGAGCGTCGTCCTCGGTGCCGTTGATGCAGCGCCCCGAGGACTGGATGTGGTTCTGGTAGCCCACCACCGTTTGGCCGAAGACCGTCGGCAGCAGGCCGTCCGCCGTCGTCGTTAGGCCGTAGTTTGGAGTGGTGAAGTGTGTGGCTAGTCCTGCGGCGGCGGCGCACCTGGCCACGTCATCCCTTTTGGCTTCCGCGATGCCCTCTTCATCGTGTGACAAGGATCAAGAGAGCTTGCTGTTAGCACACATTATCATATCAAAACAATTAATATTTGGCGGATGAATTTGTAGGTGTCGGCCGGAAGCCGATGAAATCCATCACGCCATCACCGGTGGCGTTGACGGGGACGCGGTCATCAATCCTGTAGACAGCCAGACCATGGCCCGGGTACCAGAAGATGTCGGCGAACTCGTGCTCGCTGGAGAAGGCCACGACTCGTTCGGCCAGGTCGGAATCGTCGCGCTTCTTGAACGTCACCGAACGCTTGAACATTGGTTGCAGTGCCAGAGTGATCTGATCCAAGCAAAACCATGAAAACTTTATCAAGCATCCGAACATGGCTACACACGGTTCCAGAATTTTCACACGTGCAAAGTTTGTTATACTATGAATTATATATTACTACGATGCTTTTGTTAACAAAAATAGAATTTTCAAGCTGCATATCAGGGGTGCGAATTGTTGCCACTAAGCGTTTCCATCCATGCACTCTCTTCACTTTAGAAATTCGGAAATGCTCACTGTAGAGCGTCCGGCCGTCCGGACAACGGTTTCTCAGGCCGTGCAACGGACCGGCCTAACAGACTCACGCTTCTCTATTAAAAAATAACTGTTGGACGCCGATTCCCCAATCCTCCTCCTCGCTCGCCCGTCGCGGCATTCTTCACCGCCGCACCACGCTATCGACCACCGCGGTAGATTCCACCACGTCGCCCGCCGCTCGCCTTATCCAGCGCAGGGCCGCTCGCCATGATGTTCTCCAGTGCGGGGGACACCTCACCGCGTGCACGGCACCAGCCCGCCATGACCTTCTCCAGCAGCGGGGGGCGCCTCGCCGCAGGAGGCTGCACCTGCCTGACCGCCGCCGCTGCCTCCACCGAGGGGGCCACTTGCCGGGGGCGCCTCCACTCGTCGTCGACCCACGCCGCCGCGGATTCCGACGTGGTCCACGACAACTGTTGCAGCACGCCCGAAGCCTACATGGCGCCATCGTTCCTCTCTCCACCGCGTCGAGCCGCCCACATGCCGCCATCCTCGCGCTCCACTGCCTCGAGCACCGCTTGCTGGCAACCGCAATTTCCCACAAGGTAGGCCATGGCCACCAGCAATGTCATATTTCCGGTGTTTCAGATGTATGTGTTCAAGTGTTTCATTTCGATGTTGAGTATGTTGCAATGGCTATATACGCATCTTGCAAGCGTATGTTTCATGTTGCACGTATATGTTTCAGGTGTTTCAAATGCATATTTCAAGTGTTTCATCTGGATGTTGCAGAACTATATTTGTACGTTGCATAACATGCATGTTGCAAGCATATGTTTTAGGTGTTTCATACGTACGTTGCAGGTGTTTCATCTAGATGTTAGCATATGTTTTTGCAATGGATTTCAAGTATTTTCAGGTGTTTTAGACATATGTTGCAAGTGTTTCAGTTGTTTCAAATGTATATTGCAAGTGTTTTCATCTGGATATTGCAAAAGTAGATCGAGATGTTACACATGTTGCAATGGGACCCGCCTGCTACAGACGCCTGTCGCTGCTGCTAGGGCACCGTCGTGGGTCACCGTGCGGGGGCCTGGGGCCGGCAGACGCCCCCGCAGGCAAGGTTGGTGACTGGGACCCATGTGGATTTCCTGCGTGTGGATGCGACAGTCATCGAGCGAAATAGAGCGAGCGTGATGGTAGGTGCGGGATGCAGCATGGGGTCCACGTGGTGGGGTGCACAAAAATAGACGGGCGCGGGCTCTCTTACGTGTGCGGCAGCGTCTGGACGCTAGCGCCCCAGACAGACGTCCAGGCACTAGCAAGTCCCTTAGGATTTAGATTTAACTGTCCGTACTATTTTATTCCAAAATGTTGTTGTCACATTTGTACTCCTAACGTCAGTCTACTATGTCGCCAAATCACCCTCTACTCAAATACAATGAATTGAAGTATTCAATTTTTTTCTAGAATAATACAAAGAGAGTCTAGCTTATACATTAAATAGACGACACACTCCACGACGGAAACAAAAACAAAAATGACACTTCCGTTCGGAAAATGGGCCTAGTCCTAGCCAAGGTAATTGCTCATTTTCATGGGTGCTATTCGCAACCGTTAAGGTAATTTATATTTCCTTGAGTGTTATTACAAACTGCTAATGTAACCCAACATTTTCTTGGGTGTTATTCCATACCGCCAAGCAAAATGCACATTTCCTTGGGTGTAATTGGAAACCGCCAAGCCAAGGAAGTACCAGTTGTCTTGGGTGCAAACCCTCAAGTAAATTGTTGCAGTTGCCAGGAAAAAATATCCATTTTCTAGTCATTCCACTTAACCACCAATGTAATGGATTCATTGTAGGTTTGTTAGTTAGACATTGTATTTTACAAAAACATATGTTCCGTTGACATGTTTGTGGAGTGAAATACAATTTTTCTTGCTATATAAATTTAACAAAAGGTACAATTTTGAGTTGTTATGCATTAGAGAACGTATATTGGCACCTAGCTTGAGATGTCTAGTTAATTTTAAAGTTAGCATGCAATATTCTAATATTGGATGAAGGCAAAGTTTATATCAAAGTTATAGGACCCGAAGTGATATACAACTTTGTAGTTGATGACTTTTTCATTTCAAATTATCTACAATCCAAAAATTTATAGATTAAGTTCTTAGAGTTTTGAAATTCATTTTTTTGAATTTTCCAAAGGGCCTTGGATGGAGATGCAATCTAAACCGAAGTTGTTGTACTTGACGAGATATAAAACCTTTTAGTTCAAAAGATTTTTATCTAAAATTATTTAGGGTCTTATTCGTTACAAGAACTGTCGGTGTTTTGAGTTGCCACCGGCTAGTAAATTTCTAATATTGCGCGTCTGGCCCAGATGGTGTGCTAAGAGGACACGAAGTTTATACTGGTTCGGGCAGAATGTCCCTACGTCCAGTTCATTGCTGCTGCTCATGTTAGTAGCACTGAGAAGTTCGTAGTAGATGTTATAAACGGTCGAGAGAGGGACATGTCCCAAGTATGTGGTGAGAGGAGCGATCGGGTGCCGAGGGCTTGATTGCTTTTCGACTGTGTGCTTGTATGCTCTAATCGGTTCGGGGTTCGAGTCCGAATCGATGTGATATGTTTCGATGGTTGGTCCGATGCCTCTAATGGGACACCCTGCTTTCCCATTTATAGACCAAGAGAAAGTAGGGGTTACAGCAGAGGAAAAAAAGGAGAATCTGAAGGAGAAGAAGTCCTCCAGGATCGCCGGGTCCTTTTCTTCTATGTGGGTCCCACCGACCCTGTAGACGTCTATAGGGACAACTTCACATCGTGGCCCTGTCCATCATTATTACCATGTGCAGGCATCATCTGCTGGTCATGGCGCTCCACTCCGTCCTAGCAGACGTCATTGGCACCACCCAGGCTTGGACCTAGAGTGGTCGATGGCGGTATGGGTCTTTGCCTGACGGCAGGATGTGAGTCCTCGGTATGGCCCGGTGTCGGGCGAGATGGAGCCAAACCTTAGGCCACCGAGCGTGTTAGAGCTTTGACCTGTGGCCTACGTGTTGGACTGGGTGGCCAAGCCAACCTGGGTCTCTGTCGGGCGAGGCAGAGCCCGTGGCCTCGGTGTTGGGCGAGACAAAGCCAAACCTCAGGGGTCGAGCGAGGCGGAGCCCGTGGCCTCGGGGTCGGGTGAGCGTGAGCCTGCCTCGGGGTGGGGAGGCGGAGCCAACCCTCAGGGGTCAGGCGAAATGGAGCCCGCGACCTCGTGTCGGGCGAGGCGGAGCCAACCCTCAAGGATCGGGTGAGGTGGAGCCACCCTCGGGATCAGGCGGGTCAAAGTCCACGGCCTCGGTATTGGGTGAGGCGAGCCCATGGCCTCGGTGTCGGGTGAGGTGGAGCCAACCCTCAGGGGTCGGGCGAGGCGGAGCTCGTGGCCTCAGTGTTGGGCGAGGCGGAGCCAACCCTCTAGGATCTGGCGAGGCGGAGTTTGCGCACCTGGGGGTCGGTTGGAGCTGTAGTCGCGTTCTTGACTGCTCAGATGAATCAATGTTGATGGTTATTAGCTCCTCCTCTTTGGGTACCCTAGTATTGGTCCCCGACAGTAGCCCCCGAGCCTGCTGAAGAGTAGAATACTCCTTCGGAGGTTTTTCCGAACGGGAGGACTCTGAGGGCCTTGGTCTTCTTTTGTTGCCCACGGCATGTCCTGGGGATGGCGATTCCCTCTCGTCGAGGTCGGACCCTTCACGGGTATGGCCGTGAGAAATTTGGTGGGTTGGAAAAGGTCTTTCTTGATTTTTGACCCCTGTGGGGGTCCATCGTTCTATGACCGTGCGTCCGATCTCCTTGCGAATCCAACTTTCCTCGAGCCCCCGCACATAGCGGGGTCCGATCGAAGGTCGACTCACCTCTGTGATTATCACCCCATCCATGGTTTCTGCAACTAGAGGGGTGAGCCATGCCCTAATTTTCATCTATGGATGAGCCATGGTGCTTAGTGAGTTGTTAGCTAGCTAGTTCGAGTGGGGTCCCAGCATCCTATTCATGAGGATCTAGCTAGGGTCAGGTTGGTGACCGACTTTAGATTCTCAGCGGTCAATCCATATGGTTCTCGGGTCCATTCAACCGGTCCCGAGGGCTCTCTACCTTTCCTTAGGGAAAAACCATGAATTGTACCCAGCCGAGACTCAATCGTGGGCCAGGATGCTTGTGGTGCTCGTGTGCCTAGGCATTGGCCGCTTGTGGGAGCATCCCTTTCTATCCCTTACCCTAAGGGTGCCTAGAGCGGTTGTCGAACCTATCGATGGGCCAACCTTTGAACTCCTGGGCCCAAGCGAACCGTAGAGGTGTTTTTGATCCATATTCCTCTTACATGTGATGAGTTGTGACCCATACGGAGAGGGGAAACGTCGGCTAGTTTTCTAAGGGAACAGACAGAGATTGCATGCACACTTCCCACGGTGAGACGTTGTGGCTGATCATGGTAGGCGCGGAGATCTAGGCGGATGGTTGGTTTCCTCGCACCCGTCGCCCCTATAAAACCAAAGGGTTCACCCCTCGGGTTCCATACCTTGCATCCCGTAGCCACGACCGCCGCCACCAATCGCCTAGGGTTCCCCGTCTCCACATCCCCGCCACCATCGAGCCTCACATCCAACAGTCCCCATCTCCAATGGATATGTGGTGCCATTTTAACATCAACATCCAGCACATGGAGGGCCTCATCCGTCGCGGTCTTCTCTGCGCGTGGACCTCGGCCGAGGAGTGGCTGGCCCAGTGAGGAGGATCTGCCATCGCCGCCGATGGCTACATGGTGTCGTTCACCCACATCCATTAGTGTGGGTTCGCGACCCCCGCCCATAGATTTCTTCGAGGGCTACTGCACTACTACAAGATCGAGCTGCAGCACCTCAATCCCAACGGGATCCAGCACATCACGGTGTTTGTCGTCACCCTATGCTAGGGATTCCTGAGGATCAGCCTCCACTTCAATCTATGGAGGTACTTCATCGTCATCCTCTAGAAGAAGATGGAGAAGAGCGGCAGGCAGGAGCTGCACATGTCGATGGGGTACGCTGGCATCCAACTCCGGAACAACAATCGGGCCGACGAGTACCCACCGATGCAGCTATCAACATCCATCAAGGTGTGGCATTCACAGTGGTTCTACCTCAAGAACGATGCCGCCGCCCCTCTATCGGAGTTCATCGGGCGCCTGATCAAAGAGGCGCCGGAGTCATGGAGGAAGTGGGGTGTCCCAGAGAAGGATAAGAAGAAGATATGGGACCATATCACCGCCATTCACATCTTGAAGGAGAGTGGCCTAAAGGGGTCGGGGGTCATCGGGGCCTACCACGTGCGAGGAGGGTGGCACCATTGATGATGCGCGTGCTCCCGCTGTACATGATGGTTCCCGAGGCATCATTCGATGGAACGACGCTCGCCAAGGGGGCGCTTCCAAACTCCGAGATCATGCAACGCATCAAGGAGGCCATGGAGCCCTAGTGGGACGATGTGGGTGCCCCCTCGATTTTGTCTTCCCGGTGCTGGGA